TTCCCTCCTGTTCAAGCCTGATAATCCTAACACATGCTATAGCTGCCTCAGAACTCTTACGGACCCTGGAAATGAGACGTTGTGAGGCACTAATCCCCTGCAAGACGGCAGGGTGAGGTGATAGCGCAGCCCACAAGACAGCGCCACATGCTGTCAACACCATTTTGCAGTGGATGAGGGAGAAGGAAGTGACAGGATGTACCAAGGTGATCGAGAGGCTCGGAATGAGGGCAGAGCAGTGATGAGCGATGAATTAATGAACGTTCCACTTAATGATAGAGCGTGAGAGACAGAGGAATGGACGCAGAGAGCAGACGAGGAGAGATGCTGACAGACAGAAAAAAGGCACAGCGGAGGAAAGGGAGGCGGTGTGAGACAAAGAGTGGCAGCGAGAAGGAGCGAGGAGGAAATGCAGACGGGCATGTTTCCATGGGCACACGGGAAAGATTTGGGGTGAGGGAGTGTTGCATCATCACCGCTGGCCAATGAAAAGCCCTGCTTAAAGATTTCAAAGGGAGTGTCCTAGCAACAGCCGAGTAAATACCATAGGAGCTACTATTCCATCTCAGAGGCAGAGAAAAAAAAATCCCCACCGGCACACACGTTGATTAACACAGCCATTAACTGGGTCACAAACATGTTTGCTGTTTCACTGCATCTTACATGTAAATGGGTTCAAATCAACAGATGGAGAGCCGTGATCAGACACTGCACGGTGTTTGCCGTGAGTTTGGCCCCAGGGCAGATAACACTCTGTGATGTATTATAACAAAACATATACATATAAATATTTAAATTGCACATTACATTTTAAAATGATTTTTTTAAGTAGGTTATACACTCACCGGCCACTTCATCAGGTGCACCTGTCAAACTGTTCATTAAGGCTAATGCCCTCAAGCTCAATACGTGGAGACATGTCAACATCGTCTACCGTGGACAAGTTCTCACTGAGCATTCAACGAGAAAAACAACGGTCATTTTTTAAAAATAGTTTCTTCAACATGGGCTGCGGCTGCAGCGGTGCTGGAGAGGCGAAATAGAGAATGTAGAGAATGCTAGAATTTGTTGGAACACTCAACGCCTCCACGGTACCGACCAAGCACTAGCTAAAAACGCCGTCATCTCTCTGAGTACTGTTGCTGATTATATCTGCTCCTTTACGACCAGCGTACATTAAGGATATAGCCCCAGATCACTAGTCCAAGAAAGCACCTTTAGAAATCTTTCCAATATAATCTGGGTCTAAGAGCTGAACAGAAAGAACTACAGTAGAGGGAAGATGGTGTCCAAAAAAAAAAAAAATCTTAACTATGTGATGCCATTATTCTATATATTTATATGTTTATATGTATGTATATTTCTACAAATGTGTGTGCGTGTTCGCGTGCTCGTGTGCCTCCCCTCACTCCCACCTGCCCGTAGTTCCACATGTCCACCCCAGGGACTTCATCACTGCTTACTTTCTGTACCGTTTCTCTCTAGTCACTTGTGTTTTTTTTCTTCTCTCTGTCCTACTGCAGAGTCACACAGTGGGCCATGGAGGGATTTCCAATCTGTCATGTACCCCCCCCAGCCCCCGTTTTTACACTGGGATGTACTCCTGAAAAGCCGTACCCGCTGTTCATTCATGGGTTCATTCAGTTTTTCCCCCCTCCCCCTAGATCCCCATTCTCAAATGCCATGCCCCCACCTCGCAGGTGTAATGTGTGCCTGTGGGGGGGGACTGGAGGGGGGTCATTTTTATCAGGCATTTTGCAGGTGATTTTCACAAACACACACTCACATATCCAAATATAGTATTATCTCCACCTCCAAACCCCTAAACTAGGACTTCCTCATCAAGCAGCTGTGAGGATCTGCAAAAATGTCTCCACAGTGTCAGAATATCTTCACACTGCAAAAAATAAGTGTGACTGAGTGTTCTTGAAAAGTGTCCTCCTGGTCATTCTTAGAATAAAAACCACCAATATTGTCAGGACCCACTAACATGTCCCACTTGTCAACCCCAAGGGTGTGATGTTGCTGGTCCACATCTAACACTAGTCCCCGGATCCTGGGCCACATCCATTCTCCATATAACCACAGGCAGTACCTCTATTCATCCACCAGTCTTTTCAACTACAGTCAAGCCCACAGCCATCTTCCATCCTCTCCTCCTCAGCCCCAGCTTACATCCTTGGCAGGGTGGGACTATCCAGACCGATCGTTGGTCGGTGCTACGAAGGTGAACTGACTGTAAATGATGAGGTAGAAATGGTAAAAAAAAAAGAAGAAGAAGAAGGGATGAGTCTAAGAAAAGGCTTACCGTCTGGATGTGCAGGAGAGGAGGAGGATGCTTCGGACCGCTTCCTTCCTTTTCTCTAGACCGAGGTGAAGCAGAGATGGATGCAGAGAACAAAAGGGAAGGACAAAGGGCAAAGGATAAAGACGGAATGCAGGCGCCGAGGACCGGTCGCTAGTGAGGAAATAAGAGACAGAGAATATTGGAAGGAGAGGACTCTGTCGGTTTTTCGGGCACTTCCTCCGTGAGGATCCTTTATTCTCGTAAGCCAGAGGGATGTGGATTCACCTAAACACTCAGCGCTGCTCTGCCTCACGCCACACAGCCCGCCCTCCCTCTTCCTCTCTCTCTCTCTTCCTCTCTCTCTTCCTCTCTCTCTCTCCCTCACTGTCTCTGCACTAGAAACAGCAGCTGTTGGCCTATGAGAAATAGAACACTGTGTCCCCCCCCTCGCTCTCCCCATCTCCTCCTACCTCGCTCGCTCACAAAGACCCCCAGCACACACACGCTTACATTCACCATGACCTCACACCACCCCCCTCCCCAATTGACTGACATCTCCCACTACACTGCTGTTTATAATAGAAGGGAGCACTTTGTGTGTGTGTGTGTGTGTGAGAGAGAGAGAGAGAGCGAGAGAGAGTGAGAGAGAGACTTGCATGGAATGTGTTTGACATTGTTTCGTGCAGCAGAGTGACATTTTCTGTCCGCACAGTGTGAAAGTGAATCATGGTGAGTAAGGAGGAACATGGGGGGTATTTTTGCAAACTGTGTGGGCGACTGCAGAGCATTTTCTGCAACTGTGTTGCACCAGCAGAGGAAATACACATCATTTGAGGTTATGAGCGACATGAGCGAGCGTGTGTGTGTGTGTGTGTTTATATTTACTCCTTCTTTGGTGAAAACGACAGGTGAAGAAAAGTATCTCTGCTAGTTAAAAGTCACCAGCACAGGCACAAGAGCAATGTCATTCTTGATATGTCCAGCCAGACCTTCTAACATCAAGGTGTAACTGTGAAATTAGATTTAAAAAATAAAAACAACTGACAAATTAAATGCAAGGAAAAACATTTTATTTTGTAATTTTAATGACATGTATTTCTTAATAGACAAATATCTTGCCCCCTTGTGACCTTGCACAGGTATAGCACTGGATAACAGATGGCTAGATAGCATGAATGCCCATTACCACTGGCCATGGCTAAAACTGATACCTGAAAAGTACAAGAAAAATAACTGCAGTAGTAGTGTTTTTATTTTCTCCAGAATTATACACAAATAATTCTTTCTGGACACCTGGGGCAGGAAGTCGGAATTTATCACACCCTTTTCACTTGCTTGTGTTAACTTGGATATGCTTTTATTTTATTTATTTATTTATTGTAGATTTTCACCAATGAGCTTTTCTGTAACAGTTGTCAAAGCACGCCTTTTCTATCAAACCTGTTTGTTTGTGTTAACATGTGTTAACAATGCTGTGTTCTTCTCATCTGCAGGTTCTTCCTTGCTGTGCAGGAGGAGGAGTTTGGCAGGAGTCAAAGGTCATGTGGCTTTCTACCCTGACAGCAACAGGTAAATGAGACCAACACAGCTTTTGATTCCAGCTTGTCCTTGTCATTCCATTCATTGTGTCTCCTCTACTATTGTCATTAACACATGTGCAATGGAGAAGAACACAGACACAGCAGCTTGGACTCTGCCAGGTAGAGTGAAGGAGCAACTTTATTTGAAGCAGATCGCCTGATGGTTGCTGGACTTGAGAGTGGTTTACTGAATTGTAATGACTTTTCATTGTGTAACTTGATTGCTACGTTATTGTGATAACAGATTTTTTTGTGTTTTTTTAGTTTAGTTTTTTACATTGTTTGTCGTTAATATATGTATTTAGTTCATTTTTAACTTAGTTATGTAGTGCAATCATTGTGTTGCACTACAATGGTGTAGCTATTGTTGAATTCTTTAGAGTACTAAGTAGTGGTTAATAGAAGTGTTTTGTAACATGTCAGCACGAAACACTTTGAACATGGTGTAGTTATCTGAGAGCGTTTGTACGTAATGTTGTCTTTATTTCATCTTGTTTGAGTTCAAAAGAAGAGGTTTAATGAAGTTGTTCCACTCCTGATGATGGGACCTTTGTATCCTGTGAGCACATGGTTGACAGAAGTAGCGTTGTGAGTATGTAATCTGTCCATCTTTACCTGAAGTGTTAAAGCTAAGAATTGCTGTTGTAATTTGACTTTTTTTTAAGTGTATCTATGGACTTTGTGATTGAATGCATGTTTTGTAAATGCAAAGTGTTTTGCTATTAAGAGTAAAAGGTTGTTCTATTCTCTGTGCCTCTGCTATTGTTAACAAATGTGCAATGGAGAAGACCGACACGGCAGCTTGGACTCTGCCAGGTAGAGTGAAGGAGCAACTTTATTGGAAGCAGATCACTTGATGTTTGCTGGACTTGTGAGTGTTTTACTGAATTGTGATAATTTGCTGTGTAACTTGACTGCTATGCTATTGTCGACTTTGACATGTTTTTTTAGTTCATTTATTTGTACTTAATGTTTAGTTATTGTTTAACTTAGTTATGTAGTGCAATCATTGTGTTGCACTACAATGGTGTAGCTCCAAATCTGTTAGACAACTGCATAGCAATCAAGTTACAATGATTGCACTACATAACTAAGTTAAACAATAACTAAACATTAAGTACAAATAAATGAACTAAAAAAACATGTCAAAGTCGACAATAGCATAGCAGTCAAGTTACACAGCAAATTATCACAATTCAGTAAAACACTCACAAGTCCAGCAAACATCAAGTGATCTGCTTCCAATAAAGTTGCTCCTTCACTCTACCTGGCAGAGTCCAAGCTGCCGTGTCTGTGTTCTCCTCCATTGCACATCTGTTTATGACAATAGCAGAGGAGGCACAGAATAGAACAACCTTTTACTCTTAATAGCAACACACTTTGCCTTTACAAAACATGCATTCAATCACAAAGTCCATAGATACACTTAAAAAAAAAAAGTCAAATTACAACAGCATTTCTTAGCTTTAACACTTCAGGTAAAGATGGACAGATTACATACTCACAACACTACTTCTGTCAACCATGTGCTCACAGGATTCAAAGGTCCCATCATCAGGAGTGGAACAACTTCATTAAACCTCTTCTTTTGAACTCAAACAAGATGAAATAAAGACATTACATACAAATGCTCTCAGATGACTACACCATGTTCAAAGTGTTTAGCACTAGCATGTTACAAAATGCTTCAATAAACCACTACTTAGTACTTGAAAGAATTCCACATTCAACAATAGCTACATGAAACAATTCAAGTAACAAATACTTTTTGGTTTTTGTAGTCAATCATCCACAGGTTACCTCTCTTCTGCTTCCTTTTTCCCCCCTTGGTTGGCAGCATTCCTGGACCTCCCTCTCACATGCTATTCTTTGGGCTCAAACTTAAAAAAAAAAAACAAAAAAAACAAAACTTTTAAAGGTCAACATTCAAACTTCCTGTGGCCTAAAAGAAGTTGGGAAAAATAACTAAAAACACTTACTGGTTTAAAGATGGCTTCGTGGGTTATTCACTGCGCAGTATTTGTTCTTTCCAGCCCTGATGTCCTGTAAACATTTCACACTCCGTAAATGCTGTCCAAAAGTTTAATTTGAAAAAAAACAAAACAACATGTTTCTCTTTACTTGAAAAGCTCACAAATGGCCAGGGCGACGACGTTCACGTAACAGAAACCAGATGCTTCGAACTTCTTGGCGTCATGGAGTCCACCGGTCTGCTGCTACACCTAAAAAGATTGACTTATCAATGTCATACGTTCGAGTGCGCACACACACGCTTAAATAATGAAAACGTAAATTTGTACCCTCGTCTTCTTTATGGATACAATTCACTACAAAGCGCAAGCAACGCTTTGAAGCAAACACCCCCCACGAAAGCCGCTGTTTCACTAACACACGTGGCTAAAGTCGCAACACCCAAAATGTTAGGACCACTCAAACCAAACGGTACAATTGAATCACAAACTGACTGAAGCAGTCAGAATTAGTTTGAATGTGCAAACCGTGCGGCTCAAACAGGCTACTGTTTAACCCGCTAACCGGCTTCCCCACTCCGCGGTTCAACAGCTTACGGACGGTTAAAAATAAACCGTTCGTAAGCTCTGCGGAATAC